CGTACCCGTACCCGTGCCCGTCAAATTTTTTATTTTTTATTTTTTAAAAAATATAATATTTTTAAATTATTTTTTTAATTATATTATAATTATAATTAGGTTATTTCTTTATCTCATATTATAATAAATAATCACACATAAAAAAATATTAAAATTCTTTAATATAATTGAATTGAAAGTAGGTATTAAATTAAAAATGGGAACAGGGACGGGTACGGGTACGGGTACGGGGCAGGTAAATACATACCCGTACCCGGTTTAATATATCGGGTTTTACTCGTACCCGTACCCGTATCCAATCAAACCGGATATTTCCCGTCAAAGTCGGGACGGGTTCGGGTATTACTCGCGGGTACGAGTATATTTGTCATCCCTAGACAGAACGGAGCATGTGTACCTTTTTCGAGCAGTTGAGGTGATGCCTCCGCCCGCAAATCCCCCTGCCACTGTGTTGAAATCCCCGTGAATTGCTTGCTGATGGACCTCCGACGCCTTTGCTGGAGGCTCCTTGAGGGGGGTCCTTTCTCTATGTCTATCCCTCCTTGCGTTATCTTGTGTACGCTTGTGTCGCCTTTTCAACGAGCCTTCCTCTTGTTTCCTTGCCACGAACTTTTTCAGGCACCCCTCCTTGATCAGGCGCTCAATCTGTCTCCCAAGGACGAAGCAATTTTCAGTGGTATGCCCATGGGTCCTGTGAAACTCACACCAGTTGGTCTTGAAGGGACCCAACAGGCGCTCCGTCGTTGCTGGAAAGTCAAAGAGCGATGCACTATTGACATCATGAAGTATCTGCCTCCTAGGGACATTGAGCGGAGTAAAATTTTCCTCCTCGTTGCTTCGTGTCCACTTGCCCCTTGTCCGACCACCATAATCTGCCTATCGGTAATTGCCCTCCTTCACATTATAATAGTCACCTCGCTTACTCCAATCCGAACGCGACCGGAGATGTTTATTGCCCTCTTTATTGCCCACCTCAGCTTCTCGGTTTTCTGCCGCCCTTTTGTTGAGTTGCCCCTCCTCCGTCTTTATGTGGCTCAGGGCGAAAGCTCTTACCTCCGACATCGTTTGGCAATTTGCTTTCTCTAGTGCAACGTCGAATGCACCCGATCTTAGTCCCTTCTGGAATGCGATGACCACCATCCTTTCATCCAAGGATGCAATCCTCAAAGCAACCTCATTGAACCTTTGCAAAAAGTCTTTCAACGACTCCTCGCGTTGCTGTTTGAGATTAAACAAGTCTAACATGATCGACGGTTTCTTTTTGTTGGCCGCAAACTGTGCTATGAAAAGCCGACTAAAGACATCAAAGTCGGTGATTGATTGGTCAGGAAGACCACTAAATCAATCAAGGGCCGCTTTTTTTAGCGTGCCCATGAACAGCTTGCAGCGAATTTTCATACTCCCTCCACAAATCAGCATTTGAGCTCGGAAATCCGTCAAGTGTTGACTAGGATCCTGGGTTCCGTCAAAAGGTTCCACCTGGGGGACCCGATGATCGCTCGGGATGATCTCAGCCTCTATAGCATCCGAGAAAGGTCAGAAATCCCTAGGGACTTCCATCATGACATCTTCCTCCGCCGACCTGGTATTGGCCGTTATCATAGCCTGCATCTCATTCGCTCGCCTCCTGATCTCCTCGTTTTCTCATTGAATAGCCCCCTCGCTTTCCCTGGATCGTGTTTTCTCCTCTCTCAAGCCATTGATCAACACCATCATCTCCTCCATGGTAGGGTGTTGTGAGTCGCTATTCGATGTGCCGCCTCTCACCATAGTAAACTGCATGTTCTTTTGTGTTACTTGGGGCGTAGGAAAAGTTTCACCGTAGCCCCACGGTGGGCGCCAAAATGTTCCGGCCAAAGGGTGGACTAGGGTTTCTTCCTAGGTTAAGCCTTAGAGCCAGAGCATTCAAAAGTGTAATCTGCCCCCTTAACTCTAGGGTTTTAGGCTTTATACTTTTCTGTTCATGGGCCTCTTGGGCCTCGTAAGCGCGAGGATTTCCATAACGGTTTTCATTGGGAATATTTGATTATTAAAGATGGGCTTTTCGTCCTTAATTCACGAATCAACACGAGAGGTAAGACCCACTCGGGTCTTGGCCGATCTTACCTAGACCCAACCTACCACGGCTGGGCTCACCTTGGCCGATCTCACCTAGACCGAGCTTACCACGACTAAGCTCACCTTGGTCGATCTCACCCAGGCCGAGCTAACTCATGTGGCCGGATAAGGTCGGTCTTTTCCCGAGATAGCTCCCGTGAGGGTGGTCAGGTCAGATACTGATCGGGTTCACCCGTGCTACAAAATCAGGTTGGTCTTTTGCTGAGTGGCTCCACATGGCAGGGTGAAGTCGGTCTCGATCCTTCTCCTACGAATCGTATCGGAGATAGGCCAAGATGGTACACTTACCTTCCAGCCCTGAGCCTATAAGGCGAAAGGGCTTAAGCAACTACTCCTATGGTACCACATGGCAGGGTGAAGCGGGTCTCAGTCCTTCTCCTACGGATCGTATCGGAAATAGGCCGAGACAGTACAATTTTATTAAAATATTTTTTTTATATTCTAATATTTAACATACAAATAATATAAGGAAAATACATAACTATTTTTTATCCATGTTTTGTTTTTATCATACTTAAAAAATTATTTATTCAATTTTATTATTATAAATATTATTAATATTTTTAAAAAAACACACACACACATATATATATATATATATATATATATATATATTTATAATACATTCTAACTTATTAAATTTAATTTTTTTCAAATAACAACTTGC